CCCGCCCCCCACCCCCCATAGAGTGTCTCTGGTTCATAGTTGTTTGTTGATTTTGATTTTCACTTTCTTATAGTTATTCATTTTCCTGGTCCCTTATTTAGGTTTTCTAGATTCCTGCTATGAGTGAGACCCTCCGGTATTTTTCCTTTTCTTTCTGGCTTATTTCGCTGAGCATGATCCCTTCCAGCGCCATCCATGTTGCTGCAGATTGATTGTGTTTATCTTTTTTGAATGCTGAGTAATATTCCATGGTGTATATGGACCACATCTTCTTGATCCAGTCATCTATTTTTGGGCATCTGGGCTGTTTCCAAAGCTGAGCTATTGTAAACAGTGCTGCTATAAACATAGGGGTGCAGGTGCTCTTTGGAATGGATGTTTCTGTGTCCTTTGGGTAAATACCTAGGAGTGGAATTGCTGGATCCTATGGAAGCTCTATGTTTAGTAGGTCCAGAAATCTCCACACAGCTCTCCACAGTGGTTGGACCAGTTTGCACTCCCACCAGCAGTGCAGGAGAGTTCCTTTTTCTCCACATCCTCGCTTATTAACATTCTTAATGAGGGAACTGAAGTCAGACTGGTCGCCTGAGTTGTTAAGAGTCACATTATCAGTCCGTAAGGCAGGACACAGCCTGGCTCCTTGATTTCGTCAAGACTGACCTCGACAGGGATATGATCGGGGTCACAGACGATGGAGAATGGCTTCAAAGCACACAGAGTGTGATCCTATTTCACAGCATCCGTCCATGCAACTCAGCAGTTCACCTGAATAGGCGCTGACTGGCCCCTCTGGGAGCGGGGGCGAGAGCGGTCAGTGAGGTGGACACGCATGTCCACGGACACTCAGTGCAATGGAGGAGCGAGGGAGGGGCACACGCGAGCAGAGGAGATGAGAGTCGCCAGAGAGGGTCCAGTCCAGGCTGGGCGAGACGACAGAGCAGCCAGGCAGACAGTGCTGCTGCTTCAGGATCCACTTCCTTCCCCACGCGCAGAGAAACCCTCCTCACAACTTCCATCCTTTCTTGTCTTCCTCTGTTCTCACGAAAAGGGAGCCAAGGTTGTGAGAATCCCCCTCTCTGGATACAACCGTTGCTCCTTCCCTTTCCATGCGCCTTGCACTGTCCCACTCTTGCTTGCTCCTCTGAGCTGCAGGCTCTAAAAACAGCACCCTGGGGTCAGCCTTCTGCAGGGAAAACAGACTGAGATTCTCTTTACCCGCCTGGGAAGTGCAGGAGCTGGAGCAGCAGGGAGGCTTCCTGTCTCAGGGGCTAGGAATGAGCCTCAGCACAGGCAGAGCCAACTGGGGACTGAGCCCCTGCTGGGGAGACCAAGGGCCAGCAGTGCCTGCGTGGGACACAAACTTGTCTGGAAGCCAAGAGGTCAACTGGCCTTGGAATAGGATGATTTCGGATTCTCAAGACAAGGGTGGGATATGAACTAGCACACTGAAGAGCACCTCCATGAGAGTTCCCCTCCAGGAGCTTCTGTCCTTCACTATGGAGGACAGATCCCAAGGGGGGGGGGGTAGGCCCGAGGCGTGAACACCATGTAGGAGTTGACCAACCGCACGAGGGCAGAGCGGACACACGCCCACCGAGGGGAGGCAAGGAGGACTCTTGGGAGATGGCGCTTCTCTCGCTTGGAGATGAAGAACAAGACACAATCTGTGATGCCCGAAGCTTGAGGCTTGGGTCTGGGGACTGGGGGCCAGGGAGAGAATGGCGTCATGCAGGGCTGAGCGGCACCTGCTCTGATTCTGGCCTTGGCAGGGGAGTCAGCGCTGACGGCCAGAGGTAAGCAAAGACGCGCAGTCACGTCAGCACATGGCAACGGACTCAGGTGATGGACTTGGACCCTGTGATTCTAGGTCCATTTGTTGACAAAGCAGAGATAGAAGCTTCAAAGAAGAGCACTGAGGGAGGGACAGGACAAAAGTGGTCTTCAGGGACCTGTAACAGTCTCCTGTGAAGGTCGATCCGTTTGCCCACCCAGGCAACACCCCATCAAAGGCGGGAGGCACCTGTGCGCCTATTCATTCTCTCCCACCCGTGTGGTCACTCAGCACTACCGCCAACCAGCGCTGCTGCCCCACTGTGGCCAGCCCTGCAATGGGCGCTGTGCAAGGACCAAGGATGGATCGCCTAACAGCCGGCGCATGGCGGGCACCGCCCAGTGAGACGCACACACGCTGTGGCCTTAGAAGAGGCCTGGAGGGTCGTTGACCCTCTCTGACTCTGGATTAAGTGTCCATGTAGGAGGATAAGGCATGTGGCATTGCAGGGTGGCAGACGGTCAGGGTTGGCACAGCGGCAGCTTACAAACCAGGGCTCACCCTGCTGTCCACCAGCTGCCCTTCAACCTGCGAGCAAGGTCAGAAGACTCAGACCTGGCGCCTGTCAGCTTAGGGCCTCTAGTCCACAGCTGCCCGGTCCAGTGTGGACAGTTGTTACGAGCTACGTGATGCTGTTTAAATTTGTGCTCATTAAAAATAGGTGAAATGATAAACATGGCTTCTCGGTTCCCGCAGCCGCAGTAGATGGCACAAAGAATTTCCAATTATCAAGGAAAGTTCGACTGGACAAACATTAAATTAATTTTTACTCATTCAATTCCTTGTAATTTTGACACCGTATGCTATGAAATTATAATCTGACACGAGACAAGGTCAAGGAAGTTTTCCATTAGAAGATAATTGAATAGTTGCAGGAGATTACTCTGAAGCTTCGGGCCACACAGAACCTTGCTCGCACCGTCTCCTGAAGCTTCTGGAGACAGAGCATAAAGGAAGGCATAGACCTGCGTCCCACATAGAGGCTGGTCCACGCCAGCTGCCCCTCCCGCATCACAGACAGCAGCCCATCTGTGTGCAGAGAGCCCCGATAGTCCAGAACTGACACTCTGGACGGAGCAAACAGTGAAAGAAGTAAACTTCAGAAGTAGGAAATGGACTCTGATGTTCTGAAGGCAACACAGACGCCCACCCCGGCTCCGGTCGCGGTTAGGTATTGGCCACAACTTCTGTCCCGACAGGATAAGCGAGCTGGGCAAGCTCACTGCTCCTGGTCAGTGCCCTGAGGGGTGGGGGCAGTTCCCCAGCCTGCAAATCACCACACCTGCTATTGGTGAAGAAGCCACAGACCCGACCCCGTGACCCACGTAGGTGCTGACCATCTGCCATTCTCCAGGATAGACCCCTCCGCCGGGAAGCCGACTGCCAGGGATGCTTCCATCACCCGGGAAACCAGATCTGACAGGCCCAGACGGAGCTCCCCACGTCCCCAAGGGCGACTTGGCCATTTCTTCATTTTTAATGTTTTTTTTTTTTTTTTTTTAAGAAATGACTGGATATCTGCACACAGGTTGGGAGCAGCAAATTAATATTTTTTTTTTCCTCTGCAGACTGCAATGGTAGATAGGGAAATACCATATCCAAAGACAAATTAACATGAATTCCTTACAACATTGCACTAATTATCTCGGGCACCAGAGCCTCCCCTCGGTTAGAAACTTCAGTCCCCATCCAGGGCTGGAGCTCGAGTTTCTCTCTGAAAAGCAGTAATTTGTGTCCTGTCGAGAAGGTAGAGACAAGGATGGGAGGATCCTGCCTCATCTGAAAACCCCTCCTGGAACTCTCTCTTCCTCCCTGGGCCCGCATCACAAAAGCTTCTAAGAGAAGGATGCAGCTTCAAAAGGGACTAAAGTAACGTGCATATTTAACTTTACACCAAATAGATGGGAGCAGACTTCCTGCCAAACAGCCCCTCCTTCCCCCTTACAAACCCGCGCCGTTTTCAGGAAATGCGGTAGCCTGAACTTCAAAGGCATTAAAAGACAGATGTGACACGTCGGGTATTAGACATGAAATTTCCTTTATTACCGGGAACAAAAGCTGAGGGTGTAATCTCCTGTGAGATACAAGCTGGAGCCGGCCGGGGTGAGACGAAGGCATTCTGATGCGGGGAACGGGGGATGCATCATCTTTTTATTTCTCTTTGTCTCGCCTGTTCCTTCTCCCTGAGCGCACATGCAAATTTCACAGCAACAAGGGGACCCCTGTGATACCAGGGGAGCGGAGCCCCTTCCAAGTCCGGACTCCTAAGCCTCCACCTCTATCTGCCTCCTCTGATGCTGGATGCATCATGTGATCCGCCACTGCTCTCAGATGTAGAATATGCTCAGAAATTCTAAAATCCTTAAAAAAAATATAAGGATCTGCCTTTGTTAACCTTTTAAGATGTCCATAAGTATGTTAAATTACTACAGCTTTAGTCATAGAACAAGTTATTTGCTGACAGCCTCATGCACAGGAGAACCATGTGGGGGATTTTACGGAGGTGCTAGGCATCAACACCCCAAATACAAGCAGGTTGTAAAACGCCAGAGTGGGGGAACGCGCAGAAGATTTCTGGCTTCCTCAAAAAAAGGTCCTTGTGCGCGATGAGAGAGGCAGCCAGCGGAAAGCGCTTACTTGCTAAAAACAAACAGAATTTCTAAAATGTACCCCAGCCTCTTAAAATACAGAATTTCCTTTTTTTTTTTTGGCAGACATTTGTATATAGTAATAACGTGTCCTGGCTTGCAAAGAGCAAAATGACGGGTGCATCAATGCCTCGAGAAACATGCGGTCCCACTAGCCCATCCGTGTCCCCAGCATTTCTTTCTCCTCCGCAGGTCACGGGCCTGGGAGATGAAATATCTCCAGACGAGAAAAACTCAGGGAACAAAAGGAAAACAAAAGCACCGTTTTTTTTTTTTAACCCACAGTCCCTGGTGGTGGTTGAACCCAAGGACACGCTCACTCGGCCCCCGTGTTCACGGCGGGCTTGAGCCCAGCCACCCTCTCGTCTGCTCCCGCGCAGCAGCGCAGAGAAGAAAGGCACCAGCAGACAGCAAAGTGTTTGTGGGAGCCTCAGGCCTGCAGAGGCAAGCTTTACAGAGGGCACACGATCAAAGAAATGGATGCATTTATGTAATGAATGTTCCAGAGTGGCTGCACTTACTGAATGCTGAGTCCGGTCGAGGAAGCCGAAAGTCCCACTCGCATGGGTTCTTTGAGTCGTTTCCTAGGGAAGGAGAGAAGGGGACATGTTAGGCTGAGGAATGCACTCTGGAGCCGCGCCTGTGCCCTTGTAGTCCCGCAAAGATCTTTGTATGCTCTGAAGTAAGCGCTGTGAGGTTAATAGCAATGAGGATGGTGATGAGGGTGATGAAAAGGATTAAAATTAAGTCTTTAAATGTGTGTCCAGAGGCCTCCCTGGTGGCCTAGGGGTTAGGTCTCAGCGCTATCACCCCTGTGGCATGAGTTCCATCCCCGGCCAGGGAGTTACCCACATGGCGCAGCAGACCTCTCCCGTCTTGCCCGCTGCTCCCCTCTGCAGTGTCTGTCTCTGGGAATCCTCTCACCCCCCAACACCTCTGGTCTGTACCCTAGTTCTTCTATGCAAAAAATAAATTTAAAACTATTAAATAACAAAATAAATAAATGTGTGTCTATTGCATCCTTTCACACTTGAACTAGGAAGGTGTTATTATTGTAGGACACTGAGGGTCGCACAACTCAAGGAAGCTGCTCAAAGGGTTGTGAGTGATGGAGCATGGGTTTGAACTGGGGTAACTGGACATCAAGCTGAGGCCAGTTTACTATGTTCACATGCTGTTTCCCATCACAGGCTGCATTCCAGTAAAGATGGGATATTACAGTGGATTTTCCTATGTGGGGTTTGGAATGTAAAAGGGGCTTCCATGGGGAAGTAGCAGTGGTCTGAGTTAGCTGCATGTTAAGAGCACCCCCAGAGCAGGGCCTCCCTGGTGGTGCAGCGGTTGAGCGCTGGGTTGCGAACCTCTGCAGCGCCGGTTTGATCCCCGGCTGCCCCTTGGCCACCAGAGGAGGGTCCCGCATGGCGCGCAGACTTCTCCTGTCGCCCGCTGCTCCCCTCAGCAGTGTCCTTCGGTCCTTCTGCCTGTTCTGTTCCCTGCTCTGGTGAATTCTCTCATCCTCCCGTGCTCTAACTGAACCCAATGCTTGTATAAATAAATAAACAAATCTTTAAAAAAAAAAAAAGAGCACCCCCAGATCAAAGAGCAGCATGGGGGAGGGGTGATCCAGAGCTGCAAGTTCCCAGGGCCACTCCACCAGGACCCCAGGGGGCAGAGTCCTTTCAACTCTGGAACACCAGGATGGTCACGCAAATCCCATGCCAGCACACGTTCAAGATGATTTCACTTTGCAATGAGTAAAATGGTGCTACGGTCAATAATAAATGCCATAAACAAGACTGTCGTCATCCAATCAGAAGGAGTAAGAGCATCGTTCATTAATATTTAAATAAATCAAGTGCCACTTGACCTGCACGTGGCCTTTGCCGCTGCACCCAGTTCTTGGGTGGGGAGAGCTCATCCCCAACCAGCAAAGTCAAGACTTGACAAGAGACCTGCAAGGCTCACAGGCACACTGCACCAGCGGCACTGACCCTGCCCTCCTGCTCCCTCTTGGGAGAAATAAAAGTAGTAGGGACGGACTGGTTTCCAGGGTTCTAGAATACTGATCAATGTTCTTACAATTACTCTCATAGAAGAGTGATGCAATTTATATCCAGGCTCAGTGTAATTCACACGTGCCATTACCTGCAGATACATGTTTAGAAAATCATGCCCCCTTTCTTAAAACGATAAACCATTTGCCTTTATCTTCACATCTGGCAAGTCCACTGGTGTTGGTAAATTGAACATCAAGAACACCAAGGTTCTGAAACATTGGGAGGGCAGTGTCTGGAGAGGCCTGGAGCATACACATCTGTGGAGTGGTGAGGACAATGGCTATCCATCCATCCACCCACTCACCCTTTCATCATCAACTCATCCACCATCCATCTGTTCATCCATCCATCAGAACGGATCAGCCACCGAGGTCCCTGGTGTTGACACCCATATCAACAGCTTCCCACTGCAGCAGGACGACACCAGCCCCTGTGATGTGGGGGACACCCAGCAGTGTCCCCCAGCACGGCTCTGCCCCCTGGGGTCCTGGTGGAGTGGCCCTGGGAACTTGGAGCTCTGGATCACCCCTCCCCCATGCTGCTCCTTGATCTGGGGGTGCTCTTAACATGCAACTAACTCAGACCACTGCTACTTCCCCACGGAAGCCCCTATTACATTGCACACGTCACGGCTACCGCTCGACAGTCAGCTAAGCACGGAGTGCCTGAGTCTGCCTGTCTCCCGGGTCAGCGCCACGAGGGCAGGAACCGTCTTGCTCACATTCTAGCCCGAGCTGTGGCCACACTGCTGTGCATTTGGAAGGCATCCAATAAACATTTGCTGAAGGAAGCAAAGATGGAGCATAGCAGGGAAAGGGAGGGGGGAAGAAACAGGAGAAGGGGGGAGCAAGTGGGGAGCACAGGCAGGCTTCACTCCAGACACAGCTCTGGGTAACTCCAAGCTCCCCTGCATTAACCCCCCCAACTCCATCTCTGCCCAGCTGGTCCCAGAAACCACGTGGGCGGCCCAGACCCTGGCTCCGCTGGGGCTGAGGCCATCACGATGAAACCTCACCCCATCTAAGTTCAATTTAAGATCTATTTTCTCTAATAGATCTAAGAGCTATTTTCTCCCAGGAACTTGGAAGGCCCTCAAGTTTCTGTGGGTTCCTGGGACTGAGGAGTCAGTTCCTGCAGGTTCACCAGCCGCACGCACGGTGAGGAGGGCAGAGGGGGCTGGTGTGGGGCAAGACGAGGCGGGCCGGAGACAGGCCCCGGCAGCCTCCCACTCGCGAGCGACGGTGCAGCACACGCTACGGACGTGGGCCCAGCGTCCAGGCCCCGCGCGGTGCTGTGTAACCGGGGGTCGGCTGCTGGGCTCCTCTGAGCCTGCTCTTTTTTCCCTTTCGAGGTATAAATGCCCTGAATACATGCACTTAAAGTGCCTGATTTTTTCCTCTTTTCTCCGCAATGACAATGATGTCATGGAGGTGATGCTGGTTTGCTCCACCATTTAAGCTGCAGGTGCTCAGCGCCCCAGCTCGGCAGCTGTGACGGTCAGGTCCGCCTCCCCATGTCCAGTCACCACCCACCAGCCCCTGGTCACCACTGCTCTATCGTCAGAGCCTGCGCTTTGTTTTACTTTTGTTGGTTTAATCCGTGCCTCATTTTCCTGTCTCACCAGCGGGGAGGAGCACAGTGTCCTCCTCGGGGTCACCACATGTGGCCAGGCTTGTGGTGCTACTGGACAGAGGGCGGCCATGCCCAGTGGGAGTGATGCTGGCCACAATCCACAAGGCCCCGCGTGCTTTGTCCAGTGTTGCTGGAGATAACCCAGGTGACCACAGGGGCCAATAGCCCACCGCCCCGGGGTATAGTAGCTGCTCATCTAAGATCTCTGGAACTCAGGAGCCAGCGCGGCTCTTCCCTGATCAAAGAAATGTCGTCGCAGCCGCTAGGCCCAGGCTTCTGTTTGACTTGTCATACTGTTTAAATGCAATAAACATCAATTAGTCGGCCGGCTGCATTTAATTTGGCTGGAGTTACCCGTCCGGTAGGGGCTTGGGGACCGTCCTGGGGTTGTTCTGCTGGAAGGTTCCTCCCAGGGTCTCTCCCTGGAGAAGCGAATTTCTATTCCAAGCTCCAGGGACCTCCAAGGCACTAACGCGGTTACAGCCCACCAGCCACCCCCTCTGACGCTTATTGTTGGCGTGTTTAATTTCCTGTCTTGGCCTTACAGGAGATTTCTAATGTTTGGGCTGTAGGGTATGTTCTGATTAAAAATAATCCTCCCAATTACGGGCTGGCATGAGCCCCCGTCACACACGCTCAGCCCCCAGCTTCCGCTGTCAGCAGTAATTGTGTCTGCGGCGCCTAACTGTAAATGAAACCCGAGGGGCACGTTTGGGTCCTCGGCTCCCGGGCCGCGCCGGATCTTTTAATTTGCACTGTCTGTCAAAAGATGCGGCTGTGTGTGCTCCACAGAAACCCTGAGACTCTCAGATTCAGGGCCGGGGAGAGCGGAGGGGCCGCAGCCTCAGAGAAACTGCATTTGAACCACCGGAGACCAGGGGCGTGGAGGGGACGAGGCTCTTTTCATGTCGCCCCGATATCCGCCCGCCTGTTGTGACTCCAGGGAAATTTCAGGTGTGTTTATATTATTTTTTCCAGCAGGTACATAAGACAGGACGTGAATTCAAAGCACGAGACAGAAACTCTGTGAAGGAAGTCGGCACAGGAGACCTGATTATTTCCATCTCTATAAAATTAAAACTTTCTGGGGATAGAGCGAGGGACGGAGGAAGTGGCTTCCACGTCACCCCTCCCGCCTTGCACAAGCAGCCGCCGGGCAGGGGGTGAGCCTGAGGCCCAGGCCAGGGCTTGGGGTATGATGTTGGGTCAGGAAATGTCATTGGGGCCAACAGAGCAGAGGGCCGGGGCTCAACCCCCACATGGACACTGGGGCCTGCGTGAAGTCGGGGTCTCACTCTGGGATGCCCCGTCTGAGGACAGCACACCAGGATCCCGTGTCAGCTCCGGGGCCCGGTACTGGCACCGGGAGCACAATGAGAGCCGGGGTGTCCTCTGGCAGTCGGGACGGAGGACCCTGCCCGTCGGGGGGTGTGGGGAGCACAGCCCCGCAGAGCACAGGGGGGCAGCACTGGGGTGCTGCTGGTGTCGTGACCTGGGCCGGCGGGAGGTGCGCACCTGAGATGGAGCAACCTAAGATGTTAAGACAGAAACCCCGTTTGTGAAGACACAGAAACAGACACGCAAAGGCAGGGCGGGCAGGCCTGGCTGCGGGGAGAGGTCCCCCGCTGAGTAGATGGCCCTGACTCCTTGCCTCTGGCCAGTGGCCTGAGCATCAGCACCTGTTCATGGTCCAGAGATGCTCGCCAACTCCACGGCCCTTGTCCTGAAGGCTTGGGGGGCACCGCGGGGACTCTTGCGTGGGGAAGCGGCCCATCCCCCACAGATGGACAGCTGCCAGGAACCGCCCTGCCCACTGTGCAGCCCTCCAGAGCTCGGCCAAGGGGTCCGTTTCCTGCCCCTTTGTGCCAGCTGAAGTGTATGCTTACCCCACTGTC